CGTGCGTGCGTGCGTGCGTGCGGGAGCCCTCACACTGAGTCACGCACTTCCCAGGCAGATCTGTGGGAGCCGGGCAGCCACGCTATGGAAAGTTCCTCAGAGCAGGAAGTCCTGCGATGAGCTCAGAGGCTGGCTCCTGGCCAGCCGTGCGCTGGGCCCGACTCCAGCGCCTCTGATCCTGGGCAGCATACTCTCCCAGCGCCCCGACCTTCTGTGAGTTAGGTGGGGGGTCCTTTGGTCCCCCCCCACCAGCATTTCTGTGGAGACTAAGGGTGAATATACGCAGGGAGACAGCTGCAGGCCTGTCTGGCAAGTGGTGATCACCGAAAACATGTTAGTCACATGTGCTAGGGTCTGCTTTGAAGTTCAGAGGAGGTGTCCATAAAGGGGCCCCTCAGGGCTTTTTTTTGTTTTCTTTTTCCTCCCTCTCTGTTTTTCTAGACAGGGTCTTGCTGTGTGGTTCAGGCTGGCCTGTAACTCTCACTCCTGCCTCAGCCTCCTGAGTTTTGGGAGTGCAGGTGTGCACCCCCATGCCCGGCTCCCTGGGGACATTTTTCTTGCTGCCCTCATGTAGGCAGAGGTATCCTTGATGCTAACCGTTTCCTGACACAGCGGAGCCCAGACTGGTACACGAGGGTGCAGTCGTGAGAGCCTGGTCCCCTCTGGCCCTTGAGCCGGCCCCTCCTCCCTCTGGCCTGCTGCTCATCCCCTGCACCTCCCCTTGGTCCAGCCGTGCCGAGGTGTTGGAGCCTTTGTGGGGTCAAGAACACCCTCAGATCAGGGAGCCCTGCTCTCATTTCGTTGGTGGGGAAACTGAGGCCCCAGGCCCCGAGCTTCTGATCACAGCTCCTTTCTGGCCCCGGCCCCTGCAGCTGCTCTCAGCTGTCGCCCGGGTGGCGATCACCGATCACCCGGAGCCACAGCTTTGCAGATCCGGTGTGGGCGCAGGGGTGGGGCTGCATGGTGCCGGTGTGGACCTCGAGGAGGACTCGTCCTCACGGTGCTGGGTGCTGGTGCTGCTCTGTGCTGGGCACAGGTTTCCTCCGAAAGTCCCTGTTTGGGGGAGGGACACGCTCGGGTGGACCCGAGAGCAGCCCTCCAGGAGGCAGGAAGTGGGCAGCTGCGGTGGGTGAGGCTGGTCGGGGCCCAGCACTGCACCTCTGCTGACCTCTGCCCGCCCCAGCCGCTGGGGACCTGGCCCTGTCGACTGGGACTGGGCTGCCCCCTCCTCGCCCTCAGCCCTCCTGTCCTGCTCTGTCAGCAGCGGAAGGACAGAGCCGCCCCCCCCCCCCCC